TGCATTCTCTTCTTTTTAGAACGGACCGACAAAAGCTTTGCCGTAGATTTATTAGACGATAGAAAAGAAAAAAAAAAGAGAGATTTACAAGTATTTACAGGACGGCAATAGACTCCGTAGAGCTACCACAACTAGGGGGTCGACTACCTAAAACTGCAAAAGATAAGACAAAACACCTGAAACTACTGAAAACTGCACATGAAACCAGCAACAAGAGACTGAAGACGATCACCACGAGGACTTTAGGATTCAGCCACAAGTGTCCTTGGCGCCATGGCCAAACTGTATTTCATAATCTCATCTTTGCATAACCCGGCCACTTGAGTTGGACTATATTCTTGTATTCAAATTATGTACAGAAGAAGACTGTAGTTAGGTCCATAGTTTGACATTCACCAGCAAGTATAGAAGTAGGGAAAATATTCGCAGGTGCGGCTAGCAATCTGTCAGAGATATTCCCTACAAAAACAAAGTACTTCAGTTAGAGAAAAAACTTTTTTTTTTTGTTTGCAGGCTGGGCATATAGCAAATGTTCAGTTTAGCTTTGGATATTTGACTGTGATCCTGTGCAAAAGAAAAGAATACATAAGGTTGATGTGCCTATATTTCTCTTCCTTCCTGCATCTGTGTTCCAACAGTCGCACCCAGCTTCTTTCTGAATTCCATGAGTTGGACAAGAATGAATCATGAGAACTGAACTCCAGATAATCCAGTGATGCTATACGTATAAGATTGGTTACGAATCAGGATTTAGCATTCATGAGCACTGAACTTTTTGACAGGTTTGCAAGATAGCTTTGTCAGACTTGTTAGCTAATCTACTGCCACCTTGTGTGAAACACAGTTGAGGAAGGCGGCGCCAACTTTACCCCCTGCTGTAATACAGTAGCCGCTGCAGGTGCAGGCGCCGCATGGCTCACCTGCAGCACTGTAGGCACATGCAGTGGCCGGCGCAGAGTCAGCCCTGTATACTTATCTAGTTACTGTTACAGCATGTGCGTTGTACTTTAGTTAGATAGATAGAGTTGTATAAATAGGGCACCAAGGCAACTCAGTAAAGAGAGCTCAGATTTGCCATCACACAGACAGGGCTTCGGCCAACGTTGTTGTCTTGTATTGTGCGTGCTTGCTCTGTTCTTCCTTCTTCTTCTAGCTCGATCCGTAGTGTGTAGGTACGGACAGAACCGGTGTAGTGGTCTGGTCTGGAGACTAGTGGTCTGGGAGACTAGTGGTCTGGTCTGGAGACTAGTGGTCTGGTCTGGGAGACTAGTGGTCGGAGACTAGTTCACTATCGTCAGACGGTGATCCCGTGAGCCAACAAGACTCACTGATTCATAGTACGTTCTCTGATTTTGAATGTTTATCTGATTTGATATTTCTTATCTGTGCAGTAGGCTGTAGAAGTCAATTTGTAAGGCCATTTGTGCTCCTCTGAATTAGTGAATTGTTTTACCTTACTGTGCTTATGATATCTTCGGTGATGTGTACAAACAGACCATTCTTGTTCTTCCTTGTGCTAGTACACCTTTACACAACCTTTCTTGGCTGTATATAAGGGTTGTTTGCTAGCAGTCTTGTTCTACCCTAATTAAAAACATAATGACAACGAGACCTTATTGCAGCTGATGACGAGCTGTTCTAGCAAGATTTGCAATATGAGTACCTTAACGCTTTGCCGAGATGTAAGGGGCCATTTTCGGATCCCATTTCTTAGTACCATGAACAAAACATCATTCCCATATTATTTAATGTTCTCTAAATTTATTTATTGTGTGCGTTGGGTATATACACATTTGCTTCATTGATCTACTAAAACACATTGATTTCACAGAGCCAACCGAAGATGAAAAGTTGAAAACACACTTATAGGTCCACAAAGAGAAATTCCAATGAAGAATCCTGTTTATTTACAGAGAAATATTACAAGCTCAAAGATGTCCCTGGGCTGAGGTAACAAACCATATAGATATAAACTGCACTCTCAGCTTTTTATTTTGTACAAGCAATAAGTACTATTATACTCTATTTTTTTACCTTTCTCAGTCACCGTTCTAGAGGATTTGAGATACAATTTATATTCATTTTATAAAGATAATACATTTCAGTTCCTACAAACAGTACATTTCTTTCGGTTCCTACAGATTTAGATGTGTGCTTCCCTACATCTCTAAACATAGCTCGGTTCTCGGCTCCCACCAATCTCTCTTAATTTGCAAGGTTAACATAACAAACTGCACCATTGCTTGTGCTGGTTGATGTGCTACCTGTGCGACCAATTGGCAAAGAGTTGCGATTCACGAACACATTATGCAAGCGATTAGCGATTGAGGATTCCTTCTGATTGGTTGTAGTGATTTCTTCTCTTCAGGTGCAGTGGTCTATGGACCTGTTGGATCCAATTTGATTGTTTTCTGCACCTCTACAATCATTTATCAGGTTAGCCTCATTGTCATTGGAACCTTCATGCTTCAGTTATCCATCTGCTCAAGATCAGTTTGACATTATCTAGTTGATTGCTATTTGGCTTATAAGCAGCTGGTTGATATCATGAAAGATGGGAGGTAAGGTTGCTTCCAATGAGCACACATGGCCCATGGGGGTTCATTGGAGTTCCAAAGTTTGTTGCTCTTCATCTAGTTTGAAGCACTGACTTTTATTATAATTTTTTTGTTCTGAGCACTAGCTTTTATTTAGGTCTTTACAATGTTATACCAATCATTTTAACAATCATAATGTGCTTGCCTAATAAGTTAAGCATGCATGTTATCTCAAAGGCTGAAACCTGAATCTTTTTCAAAAAGCAATACCTTTCTGAGGCAACCGTGCATAGGATACTTAATTTTTAGGTGTGGTAAATAGTTTGTAGAATACAGAGTTAGTTCCGTTCACAACTATTTTGATTGTGTTATGTAGTAGACCCCAGATAGCTTCTGATATTCAAATTAACTGTAATAAGAATCAACTCATTTTATCTAATCATCGTAAGTATTTGATGATTGCATATAGAATATATGTACTTATTATCTTTATGTGACTACTAGAGCTTGCAATACTTCTTTCCTGGAGATTAACATAAGTGAGAGAAACAATGTGTTTTGGCGCCCATTACAATATAAGATTTTCCACTAGCAATATCTAATCCTAATAAAGCTTTCATGTCTTTCAAAATTGGACCAGCTTTCTTTTTATTTGTATTAACAGAGAAAGAAAGGCTTGTGTAGTGCAGGTGAGTCCCTACTCCCTGGATATGGTTCTCATGCTATCAATAACATTTGTACGTTGAGGCTATAGTTGTGCTTAAGCTGCAGGTAGCTTCATTGGCTAGTAGCTGCTAAATGCGTCTAATGCTTGGACAAAGTCTGCTGCTGCCTTCCTGATGACGTTGCCTTTTGTGCCGTGTCATCAAATCGTCTGCTTGCTTTGCTTGCTGCTTGCTTTTGAGTTGCTGTATTGGTATTGTAGTAAACATACCAATGTGATAGAATCATGGAAGTGCAGATTCTGTTTGAGTGTTACTTCTGATTAGTTAATCTGTAAATATCTATGAAAATATTTGCACTTGAGTGAATATGATAATTGTGACTCTTGATTTCTCCCGCAAAAATGCGCGGGTGCCATCTATTATCTATTAATACACCCCATCCCTAAGCTAAATCTGAAACTACAAAAAAAATTCTAGCTGGATAAGATCATGACCAAATTTCAGCTTTTCCGCACTTATATTCATGTGCAACACTAAAATAACCACTGGCAAGCTCAAAGATGGCGCAACAACGCCGCACCCTGAGTTTTCTAGTAACTAGCCAGAACCCCCGTGCTTCCCGCGGGTAGATACTAGGGATGTGTGGATTAATTGTGTGTGATTGTATGCATACAGAAGCATAGAAGTTTGGTATGCAACCATAAGCAACGATTGTAAAAGTGTAAAGGACGATGAATCATATATCTGTACATATTGCAACCAAAGTATGTTTTGTACACATAGGGGAAGTACAGCAAATAGTAGGAATTTTTGGTTCTGTGAAGGGGGAACACAGATGGCTGGCAAAATATTGGTGTTACATGTTATAGTTGACCAAAAGATGAATATATTTGTCTCGTTCTGTGGACTCGTTTACAATTGGTTGTGACGCAAATATTCAGAAGCAGCTTTGGTACTTTGGCACCACATACGGGCAGGACATGCAGATCCATCATGAGCCCACTATTGCCCCGACTCTTAGTGAAATGAGTGGGTGTAGCTGTATTGCTGATTGTGTGAAATGCAATGAAACCTGAAGTAGAAAGAGTTGCATTACAAAATGAATGATTAGAGGCAACTGCTGGCACAGGAAAATAAGTATAGTGGGAATATATCATCCTATGAGCAGGGAGCTTATATCATTGTCTTTGTAAAGAATTTAATTCATGAATAACTATGTTATGTGCGTTAAAAAAATCTTTCAGCAAATATGTTAGGATGGCATGTGTGTCCAGGCAACAGCAATAGCAATAGCAAAGGGGGAGAATCAAAACAGGACACATGACTGAGGACATGACATGCTGTGCAAGGCTGGGCCTGTCAGCCAGAGCAATGATTTGGCACTCTGATATATTATATTTACCCAAATTAGTAACCAAACAGGATATGATGAAGGTTCAGATTGTCCAAAGCAATTTCATAGTTTCTAAAACTGTCAGGTGAACAGGCTGGAAATAGAACACCCATTAGGTAAACAGAAGCAGCACAGAGTAAGAAGTAATGGATAAATTACTCAAATTGTTGAGATTTGTTTCATGAGATCAAGCTATAAAAGCGGCGTCATGGTCTTTCATGAGAGCAAGCTTCACATAAATCTGTAAGGTAAGCAGAACTATAGGAAAATGATAGCCATAAGCAGAGTCACCATGTTGACTAACTGGAAATAGAAGAACCGTGATTATAAGAACCATCCTAAATCCTTCCAAGACATCATAATATTCATAGTTATTATTTGCGGTGGGAATTGTATAGGAAAAAAATGGACACCTGTTTTAGTTCAGCTCAGTCAATCAACAATTGTCAGAATGGGTATGACCATGTGGAAAGTCGTCAATGTAAGTGGATAATGAACTGCAAAATAATAGCAAATGCAACCAATGTGTATCATGTCAAATGAAATCTATGGACAGAACATCTGAAAATGCGACCGAAGTCAAAAGCAATACAACACGTCACTTTATTTTGCCACAGGAATAATAATTTTATAAACCCGTCTGTTCCATTAATCGGTAAGTGGTAAACAACCTTGGCTTCAACCATGAAATCTGCTTTTGTGGTACTCCATAATAGCATTGAGAGGTTTAAAGGATCCTGTTCTTAATCCATTGGTTCCTGTTTGTGTACATAAAGAAATAAAAGGAATGATTCACAGTAAGGAAACCTAAATATGTCCACAAATCTGAGTTTAGATATCCTGTTTTATTCTATTTCATGCATCAGATTGGGCAACCACTATGGAAATAATGGGATACGTTTGGTCATGCACATAAAAATGGAGCAGATCTACAAAGGACCAAATATCGTGGTATGTGGAGACGTTCGAGGTTGGTGAGCAGGTCGTCTGACAAAACCAAATTGCCAAACCTGCTCTGATGTTTACTATTAGGCACCGAAACATTGGTAATATCAGGAAAATGTGGACATGGTTTTCATAAACATAAACAGAGCAGCACGTGATGGCAAAAGTAGTTCTTTAGGATAATTTAGAAAAGTAATAGGGTGAGGTTCAATTAACCTGTTATGAATAACATAAAGGACTCCAAGGGGCAGGGCGAATCATTTTTTCAGGAAAACATTCATATAATAGCATCACACAATGTGTAAATGCGCTATTGTTGACTGTTGCTACAAAAGGAAACCCAAAGCGTAGATGAGATTACTCCTGAAGGAAATCTAAGTCTGCATAAATTTCTTAATAGGCCATATTAGAAAAATATGACCATATGTTGGCAAAAATTTGCTTGAAGATATGAGATACTGAGCAATGAGGGTCATATTCCAGGTTGTCCCTGGATCACAGCACCTAAATTAGATAACATATTTCACATTTCTGTTATTTGTATGTACTCACTACTCAGGATATGTATGATTTGGCTTGGTCCCCATCTTGGCTGCAAAAGTCAGAATGGATGCACATATGCCACCAATAACAAATTCTTAGCACAACTCCAGGAAAGGGATGTGCTGAAAGGTACGATGCATGAGGTATTAGTACAGAATTTCACCAGTTCAGTCCCCCTCTTCAGCATGTGTGGATGCAACCAGGAGGGATGCAAAAAGTTCGGAGAGGCCACCAAAATTCACATCCTGTATCAGGCAACAGTATACATCAGTGGCTGGGTGAATGCATTTATCTATGTGGTAAAATCAAAGATGCAACCTGGAGGGATGCAAACAGTTCAGAGAGGCCATCAAGATTCACATCCTGTATCAGGCAACAGTATACATCAGTGGCTGTGTGAATGCATTTACCTGGTAAAAACAAATGCTCTGGATCTTCTGGTTGGAAACTATTGGTACGTAAATTCCTTATAGCCCCTATTAGGAACATACTTTGGGAAAAATCGTAGCACTTGAAAAATCAAGTTGCACGCACCAAATCGAAAGCTATAGAAATAAAGCAATCGAACTGGACCTCAGACATGGAGATCTACAACTATAAATCACTGGATGCACAGTGCCATAGCTTAGTAAGGCTGGCCAATATAATATTTCACTGCAGCTCTGCACGTAGATAGGGCCAAAAAGTTGACTGGGGCTGTAGGTTGAGTAGTTGTGATGGAAGTAACTGCATGAATACGATACAGAGTGAGGATAAGAGGTGCATATTCGGCCCATATTAAAGGTAGTAGAGATGAATAGCATGTAGGGAATCGAAATAAGCATACTGTGTACAGTATGATGGTTACATGGAAGCAAAGTTTAGTAGGATTAGAGAAGCCATTTGTTTGTACGGTAGTCTAAGCTTAAGCAAATTTATGCCATGCTTTGTAAGGGTATCAGGTGCACAGGATCAAATTTTTCAGCGTGCGTGTTTTTGGGACAGCACTGAAAATATTGTGAGGGTGAGTAAATATAAATGATCAACGTTGCATGGAAAAAAATATCAGCGTGCATGTTTCGAGGAAAAAAATTGCATGTTTGGCAAAAGGAATGTGAATACCCAGAGGAGAGGTTGCATTGACGAAGGCTGGAGCACCGTAACGAAGCAGCATAGACCGACGCCTCAGTGCTTCACGATGCAGTGTTTCTGATTGCGATATTCTTTGTCCATGGGCAGAGAAGTGTTCCGTTGACCGCGGCGTCATCGTTGGCTACCAAAGATGCGCGGAGTATTTTGAAGTAGTAAGGCAAAAGCACCGTACAAAGATAGGGTACATATGGCATACGCGACAACAAACCTGGTGTAAATAAGTTTAAAAGCAGTACCATAACACAATAGGACACAGGCAGAGAAATGCAAGTTGCAGCTGACAGGAGGCAATTGGTATGCACATCTGAATGCTTATGTACTGAATCGGCATGTGTATATCGTTTGGAGAAGCTGAGGAAATAGGTAGAGGGAAAAAGAAGGTCGCACCTGTTGCCGAGGGTTGAGGACCAAAACCATCTATATCTGAATGCTTACGTACTGAATCCTGCCTTCGTCGTCAACCGCTGGCTTCGGCCCACCACGGCCGCCCCTGCCTCCCGCCATGGAGGACGAGGATGACGGGCCAGGAGACGCAGCACCCACCACCGCTACCTCTCGGAGCACCGCATCCTCTCCGACGGCCACCGCGCCGGCCACCGCCCCCTCAACGGCCACCTCTCGGTCCGCAGCCTCCTGGATGGCCACCTCTCGGTCAGCGGCCTCCTCGACGGCCATCTCTCTGCCCGCCGTCTCTCCTACGGTCCCCAATGGAGGCGCGCGCGGAGAGCCAGGAGGCGCTGCAGCCACCGCTTCCTCTACGTCGGCCCAGACCCGGCGGCGTCCCGGGGCCGCGAAGGCGGCCGCGCTCGCCCGAGCAGCAGGCGCGTTCGACGTACCTGTGGCCCGAGCCACCGCCACGGGTGCACCGAAGCGCACCGCCCCCATGACATCCGAGGTCCCGCGTCCAGCTCCAGCCCCAGTGCGGACCATGACTGCTACGAGGAGGGCCGCCACAGCCGCGAGGGACCAGACCGTCGCAACACGAAGAGGTATTTTGGTAATTTCGTAGGTTTGGTGGTGAATTCGCTGGCTACTGTGGTTTAGGATACCTGTAGGAATATATGCTAGATTGCCTCGGTTGCAGGATAGATAATCATTATATGATTTCATCTAGAAGCTGATGATTACATGTTTTACTCTTGGTGCGAATTAAAGTCGCTATCGTGTCAATTATGTCAGCATGGCAAAAGCGTTTGGTTGGCAACTAAGTTTAGGCAAGATTTTTTTAGGTTTCGCATGTCACAGTAGATTGAAAAAGTGTGGCAAGATTCCCTTAGGCATGGCACAAAGTGTGGCTTGCCATTTCTTGGCCACACTTGCCTACCATTAGTTGTGGCAATTCATGTCTAGGAACCAGTTGTTGTTAGTTTTTCATTTTATACGTGGTTGCTATAAATCTGCATCGTTCTTGGTATGGCATCGGGGACTAGGATTATGGTTTTGTTCATCTAGTTTGCTGTTAGTTTTTCATGAAGCAAAAACTGCGTGTGAGAGGGCTATTACATTCTTTTTAGCTGTTGTAAGTGTTGTAATTGTGCTGCTTATTGATTTGATGTGTGACTAAATGATCTATGTTGATACTAATTAGCTAAAACTACTTTCTAAGAAGTAGTACTGTTAAATTCTTGTTTATTGTTTGTTCTAAGGAGCTAGCTCTTATTTAAATTTTTCTCATGTGGAGGAGAGAAGTAGTGAGATAGCCTCATATAAACTCCCAGGCATAATTGTGATGAGATGTCTCTCGTCTCTTTTTATGAAACAATAAAATAACATATACTTGAAGGGGTCCATGTAATTGGTACTACATAGTTGATAAAAAGTGATGACATGGTACATTAGAGATAGATCTATCTCTTACTTTTAGAGGAGGCCTAATTTTGCTACTTATTGAGTTGACAAGTGTAACTAAATGCTCTCTGTTGGTTGGTGACTAGTTGAAACTTGAAACTAGGTTTTAAAGTACTCTTATATTCTTTTTTGGAAACATATTTCTATCGTTGTAATCATATGCTTATTGATTTGACAAGTCAACTAATGCTCTTTGATGGCTAATACATTGGTGACTAGTTTCATTTTAAATTTCATGAAAGTAGACTTTAATTGAGTTTGAAAAACTTGCCAATTCTTGGCTACTATTGGTGGTGGCTTAGCAAAAATCTTTGGTGGATTTGGTGTGAAGATTCTTGATAAAAAGAGAGAAGGAAATGATACGCTGTCAAGAAGGAAGCTCTTGAACACAAAAGGAATGATGAGCGAGAGGCTTTGTTTGAAGAAAGCCCTTAGCCACGAGGATGCTATGATCTGGTAGTTGTAAGGAGGAGAGAAGAAGAAAAGAGGAGGAAGAAAGAGAAAGGGTGGCATTTCTTTTAGCCATGCAGGATGCTATAGTCAATACTTCAACAATTTTCATGGAATCTTGAAATTGCTTACGGTGGTAGAGATTCGATTTTTCGCGGTGAGTACCATGATGCAAGAGGCATCCCATCTGTTGCACGGAAAAGAGGCAATGCCATGGGATCTAGAAGTGAAGGCCATGAAAATATGACCTCTGCTTTGCAAGTCTTGGTACGGAACACTAGGCCTAAAATCGAATCAATTGATAAAGCAGAGATCCTAACAAGAGCCTATGAAAAATTGTTGCGGTTATAGATGGTTTTGGTCAAGGAGGCAGACAATTTCTCGTAACCTCATGGGTACTCTCCTCAATACAACTATGGCAAAACTTGATCAAGCAATTTGCTGATTTCAAACATGGCATCTTAAGTCTTTGGTTGACATTGACAAGAAAGCATCATTGACTTTGTTGTTCAAGTGCTTCATATGTGGCTTCTTCTATCTCATTAAGAATTATCTACAGGGCATTCTTCATCCAAATTCTCCTTTGCTAAAGATAGCCTTTGAGCAAGTATTATCTTGGAAGAAGAGCGGGTTGTCAAGTCTCAATTAGATGATATTCATAATCGACAAGTGGACTTGATTCTCTTATTTTGGAAATTCGGAGATAAGCTTGAAGAGAAACTCCCAAAGGTGAAGTTAGAAGAGCAAGTTGACTTGGGCAAAGACGAATATCTTTCCTTTCAGAACAGGGCAAAAAGAATATAAGAGTACTCTAAAACCTAGTTTCAAGTTTCAACTAGTCACCAACCAACAGAGAGCATTTAGTTACACTTGTCATTTTGAATAAGTAGCAACTTTTAGGCATTCCTCTAAAAGTAAGTGATAGATCTATCTCTTTTGTACCATGTGGACACTTTTTATCAACTATGTAGTGCAATTAGTTGGACTTTTTCAATTATATGTTATTTTATTGTTTCATAAAAAGAGACTAGAGACATTCATCACAATTATTTGGGAGTTTATGTGAGGCTATTCACTAATTCTCTCCTCCACATGAGAAAAATTTAAATAAGAGCTAGCTTCTTAGAACAAACAATAAACAAGAATTTAACAGTACTACTTCTTAGAAAGTAGTTTTAGCTAATTAGTATCAACATAGATCATTTAGTTACACACATCAAATCAATAAGCAGCACAATTACAACACTTACAACAGCTAAAAAGAATGTAATAGCCCTCTCACACGCAGTTTTTGCTTCATGAAAAACTAACAGCAAACTAGATGAACAAAACCATAATCCTAGTCCCCGATGCCATACCAAGAACGATGCAGAATTTATAGCAACCACGTATAAGATGAAAAACTAACAACAACTAGTTCCTAGACATGGATTGCCACAACTAATGTTAGGCAAGTGTGGCCATAATTGACACGATAGCGACTTCAATCCCCACTGAGAGTAAAACACGTAATCATCAGCTTCTAGATGAAATCATCTATTGATTATCTATCCTGCAACCACGGCAATCTAGCATATATTCCAACAGGTATCCTGAACCACAATAGCCAGCAAATTCACCACCAAACCTACGAAATTACCAAAATACCTCTTCGTGGTTTATGACGGTCTCGGTCCCCCGCTATGGTATGGCGGCCCTCCTCGTGGTGATCATGGTCCGTGACCGGGCTGGAGCTAGACGTGGGACCTCGAATGTCATGGGCGCGTGCGCTTCGGTTGCACCGTGGCGGTGCTTTCGGCCACAGTACGTCGAACGCGCTTTGCTTGCTCAGCCGCGCAGCGCCGCCGTGGGCGGGGCGCCGCGCCGGTCTGGGCCGACGAGAGGAAGCGGTGGTGCGGCGCCCTCTGGCTCCGTCGTGGCGCCTCCATTGGGGGGCCGGGAGAGAGGCAGTGAGAGAGGTGGCCGTCGAGGAGGCCGTGATCGAGAGGTGGCCATCCAGAGGTGCATGGACCGAGAGGTGGCCTTCCAGGAGGCTACGGACCGAGAGGTGGCGCCGAGGGGCGGTGGCCGTGATGGTGGTCGTCGGAGAGGATGCGGTGCTCCGAGAGGTAGCGGTGGCGGGTGCTGCGTCTCTCTGGCCCGTCATCCTCGTCCTCCATGGCAGGAGGCGGGCGGCCGTGGTGTCAGAGCGTGGCGGTTGCCATCGGGCGGACGCCTTGCCAGCGGGAGGCGGCGGACGAAGCGGTAACCATCGGGAGGTGGCGGCGGTTTCGATCCCCAAGGGAGAGGAGGCTTGCGATCGTGACAGCGGTTACGATTTCGAGATGGCATCCATCCCCATTATCCCCACGAGCCGTGAGATTTTGTGGGGTCCACCGACGATGAGACGGCTGTAAAACCGCCGCGCTCCGGCTGGGCGCGGTTCAGATTCGCTCCAATTCCGGTGACGCTTGGATAGGTGGGGATTGGGATTTGGACTAGATAAGGAGATATCTCATTTAATCTTAGCTATTCATTCATTTGTCTATTTCTATCCCATCCCCTGTGTCCCAATATCCAACACCTTGGATTGGAGGGGGGAATCAAATTCCTGCCAATGCAAGCCAAATAACCCTCTCCCCGGGCGAACGCCAGAGGCGGCACGGACCTTGCTGCTGGGTGGAGGGGGATTCAGGATTCTCATGTGGATTACAGAAGCAAAAGCTAAGGCTGTTGATAGTGGATCTTGGGAGCAGAGGCTGGATTGGAGCTGAGATGGAGCACACGCACTTGGGTAGGAGCAGAGCAATCAGGTGGCCGAGCTATGGACAAGGCTGCACTCGCACATGCTGGAGCTCTCTAGCTGTGCGTCTTGTACTCTTGTTCAGCACAAGGACGTCTACCAGTGTTGTTGCTGGCCAAGACCTGTATGAGCATGTCTATGGTGTTCTGATGTGGTATTTCTTTTTGGACTAATTGGATTATAGAAATATGCGATTTATATGTGCTGGCCTGCAGTTTATGGTGTCTATGGTGTGTGCTGGCCTGCAGTTTCAAATATTACTGTTACTTATAGAAATATGTGATTTATATGTGCTCAGATGATAACTTGGTTCAATTTATGTCTGCTTGTGCTATTTTGTGCGTGTGTGTGTGTGTATGTGTGTGGTGGGGGGGGGCACTTTCAAATGAATTCACCCTGAAGCTTATCTCATTGAACAATCTGCTCATAGACTATTTGTTGTTTGGCATGTGTTGTGTTGCTGCCAAGCTGTAATTGTACATTGTACTCTATATATTATATCTCCTCGATATCATTTTGTAAGCGTCTGAACAATCTGCTCATCGACTATTTTGCTTTGGCATGTCTTTGTGTGCCCTTTATTGCTGCCGAAACGTGGCAAAAAGGAATCAGGGCGCATGACAAGCAGAATCGTATATAACTATGGTGAGTAGTTCAATTTGTGTAACTACTCAATGTCATATGAAGGAAATGGAGGAATAAATAACTATTATCATTTTTTTTCATAAATTTTATTGTTCTTATGGAAACATATAAAGCCACTTGGTTGTTTTAAGTTGTGTCTGAAATGTTGCCGCACGGGCACGCTAATAGTGTTACAAGGACAAATATATATATTTTTACATAGATTTGATTCATCACATGCCCAGATGATAGAAATACAACTAAAGAATAGCTGTGCCTGCACATCATTCGACCTCTCGCACAGGGTCACTAAAGAATTCCTACAGAATATTAACTTCCGTGCCAGGCAAGATTTTTCCATTAAGTTTACTTCTAACAGAAGCTCGACTAGCCAAGAAATCTGAAGCCGTACACCTACAAAGACCCAACTTCTTTCTTGGATCTATAATTAAAATCCTTAGGGCAGGGGCACTTTCCACGATATGTGCTAGAAATTCAAGTTGTCCCATAATCCCATAAAACCCTGTAATATGCACTTTCCTTAGATAATTATATGGATGAGGCGGAAGACTCCGCGGAGTTCCCCATCCCACACCATACAAGCAAGATGCATCAAACTGCAAGAATTCAATGAAAAAGTATGGTCAGTGTACTTATCATTAAAGATATGTTTATTCTGATGTCAAATTTCATTATCAGTAATTGAAGTTTAAGGGCGTATTTATTAAAAAATTGAACTTAACGAGACAAGTAGTCTATGAGCAAAGTTTACACTTTAAGCATCAGTGAAGTTCATAATGGGTGACGTGTCTGTACAAACGTGAAGTACATAGCTATGACAATCAACAAGTACAACCCTCCATGAGACTGATAAGCATGCAAACAATCTACATGTAAAATGACAAGCTAACAGCAGGTTACAATATCGGATGGGACCTATTTGTATTAAACTCCCAATTACATAGGCACAGTACTTCATTATTGGCCTCTCACCACAAGTCTCCAAACTAGACATGACATTACATGAATTAGCATAGTGTTCCACTAGAAAGAAAGGTACGGAAGCAAATCTCCTATGTTTAACTAAGAAATAACTAATAAATATGATATATTCATATGCATGAGATCACTGCTGGCAGAGCGCAACCCAGAAAGAGTACTTACATGCACCTCAAGCTCCTCAATTAAAGGGGCAGCCCTGAGGAAGGATGCCAGCAAGAGAATATTATCGCTTTCACGACAATTTACTCGGAGTAACAGCCGTAAAAATCTCAGCTGGGAAAATCTGCCAATGTTTTCCAGTAATAAGGGCATCTGGAAGATAGAAAACTGTCAGATCAAAACTAAAAATTGAGTTAAAGATTCATAATATGTTGCAACAACATACCTCTAATGGTAGATAATTAGTCTGCAAGGTGAAGTTTTGCACACCTGGGAGCACACTTGGAAGTACACCTAGGACATACTCAAAAGTGATACCGTACAAATAAAGTTCTGCTGTTTCTAGTTTCTTAACTTCGCCAAGGTCAATAGGTAATTGCACCCCATGGTATACAAAAGTCTTGAGATTCTTTGCATGTAATTCTACCTTTTTAATGCTGCAATACGCAATGCGCAAGTACAGCAAACGGGACAATGGCCGTTTTACCTTTAATTCATCATTCACAATGCATCTAATGAAGCTCAACCACTCAAGATTAGCACAACCTGACAGCATGTCATCAAGATCCATTTCAGACGCATCAAATAGATGCAGATCAAGCTTCCACAGGTTTGGGAAACCTCTAAACAGGGGGACGTGGTCTGAAGGATACGCAGCTAAGCTTAATATGTTGTATCCGAGATATGGATGCACCATCGAACAATTCAATGGGAAACATGTACCTATCCTTGACACCCACAAATTCAGCTGGTGCTAAATCCAGAACTAGATTCTTCACAAGTGATGACACAGCAAAACTAATCCAATTGTTCAGATGATCAACTAATATGCTCTCAAATTCAAATTTGACCTCAAGCTCTTCAACCACCTTGCCACGAAGCTGTTGCAACACCGTATTAACACCATCAATGAATTCCTTGGTGTAGCTTGGTTTGTTGCAGAAATATCGAGGTCGGCCACATATTGCAATGCCATCAAGCCTTAGTTTGGAAGAAATTGCCCACATATGCCTCCACTTACTTGACAGCACACTGGTCCGAACAACCTCGTTGAGCTGCAATTTTGAAAACACCCTGTCTATCACATCCTGCAGCAAAGCAATGATGTCCCATCAACCCCATCCCAAGTTTGGAAATTTAATTTACTCTCAACATCATATTTAAAGAAGAAAGTTTGTAGCATACCTCCGGCAGGTCTTCAAGTTTAATATTTGGTTGCCGTGTTCCATGAGTTGATTGTGCACTTCTGCATGTAAGGTTGTTTCCTTTCCCTATGCTGCACAAGACAACGGCAGAACTTCCATTAGTCTGATGTCATCACAATAAGATAGCTGAGCAGTCAGGACTGATAGATAATAGAAACTAAAAATGCCATGAGATGAACTATGACAAAGTATGTCAACAATCTGAAAATGCCATAGTAACTCCTTAGTTGAGCCCTGAAAACATGACAAACTTATGACTGACTTGGAAGTGAATATTTTCTCCACTAATAAACAACTGATGTTAATGGCATATATACTCAAGTTCTCATACTTTGACCACTATTATAGAAAAAGTTTTTAGAAGTAGATTCGCTATCAGAAGTCCTTCCTGTTTGTCTCATAGAAAAACCACTGCGCCCTTATTTAGTTAAAATAAAATTCTCTTATGGGTAGTATTCCTTCTAGATGAAAATCGAACATCTGGCCTTGGATCTGTATCCTCTGCTATCAGGTCACAACTCACAACAGAGCACAAGTACCTTTTTGTTTGGTACTTATGCGTCTGAGGGATATAAGAGGATCTGATTTAATTATGTATTATCTAATGGTGTCTTAGTCTTTTCCTGAAACCATCTTGATAAACAAATTTAATAAAAAAAAGGTTTGAAATAACCACCCTTTATTCAGTCAAAAACACCAAAAATCCTGACCAAAGGTCGCAGCTAAGGCCATGAGGGGGCCCCCAAATGAAACCAGCAAAAATTCATGCAAATACAGTATCATTTGACTTCCCCCTATTGCTACTTTGCGAGGATAAGGGTCTGTTTGGTTCCAAATAAGTCACCTACTTATAAGTTAAAAAGTGAAATAAGTGACTGATTTTGTCAAACACCACCAACTTATAAGTCACCACTGCTTATAAGAAATAAGTTGGTTCACCCCTAATTAAAACTTATAAGCCACCCTTTTCCGCGTGGGGTCCACAGCTTATAAGTCATCTACAATCAAACAGGCATGACTTATAAGTCTCTGGTTTTCAGTCACCTGACTTAATAAATCACCTGATTTATGGAAAGCAAACAGGGCCTAAGGTCGTCTGTTCAGATCTATCAAAACGAACAACTAACAATCACTTGAAGTAACACGTGGCCAGTTGCGAGATACCGACCTGACAGGACGGCCGTCGCCGACACGGACCAAAACGCTGCCGGTTCGGTCGAGAGTACGGCCGGCGGGGCAGATACCCGCAGGGCCGCCAATGCCGCCGTCCACAATCTCGGCTATCCCGCCGAGATTGCCGGACGCACCGCGACGGCAGCTGCCGGCGGTGCCAAAAGAGCCCGCCGCAGGGGCGAGCGCGCAGGCCACGCGACCGAGAACGCTGCTAACGCCTTTCAGAGCTCTCCATATGGGGTCCAGATCTACGCCGTCGTGGCCCTCCGCCGCCTTCGCCGTGCGGAGCGGCGTAACCGCCATGGTTCCCGACTGCGGAGCGGCGTGCCGTGCGGATTAATTTGGGAAAGTTTATGGGTCGTTTCGTGTTCGGCTCCGGACAGGCGATATTGACTGGTGAGCCGAGCGGTCGCAAGGCACTCGCACAGTCCCACCCTATGTAGTGTAGCACCGATACGTACGTCGGGGTGGTCTCGTTTCCCGTATCGGATACGTAGGCCGTGTTTGATTGCTGCCTGTCGGCCTGGCCGAGCCCGTGGGCTGCAATATGTTGTGTTCGATTTGCTGGATCCACCAACGAGTTAGGTTCGCCACTGGCTCTCAGAAAACGGAATCCAGGTTCATTTTCCGACTGGCTTGAGCGCTGCGAGAGCTGCGTGCGCACGCTCGAGTCACCTCCCGGTGGCGTGGAGTTCACGGTGACGGTGCGGGAGCTGCGTGTTCTGGGGCGTGGCGTTCGTGGTGGCACGGAACCCGGCGGCGGTGGGGGAGCTGCGCGGGACCGTCGCACCCTACGTAGCACTGGTATTATAACCATGTCTGGAAAAAAAACAAAATGCGCATAAAACATTTTAGTAATGGTGCATGAAAAATGTATATGTAGCATTTTACATGTTAGCTGTCACGTGTGGGGTAGCTAGATCTAGTTATTCGATTGTTTCCTATTTGTCCTAATGTCTATTAGTATAAAAAGTTATGAACTAACTAATAATAATTATATCCGTCTATTACCTCGTGTGAGGTAATAGGTCACCTGATATAATAAAAGAGATGATTCTCGGTTATTTTGGAGTACCATAGAAATTGTCTTTATATTTAGATCTTCTATAGAGGTACGAGGTCTGAAGTCGAACTTACGTTGATGGAGATTAATGCCCTGTTCGTTTGGCTGATAAGCCATGGCTGAAAGTACTGTTGGCTGATTTGTTGTCAGAGAAAAATATTGTTCGTTGGCTGAAAAAGTACGGCTTATAAGCCAAACGAATAGGGCGTAAGTTGAAGGAGACTATCACAAAGCAAAGACGTGCATACAGCGAAAATCTTACCTTCTGCACACAACTACGTGTTTGTGCTCCTTTGGACCACTCTAATTACAGGGCATCTACTATTTGCTCATGTCGAGAAGATGGAAGAGAAACTAATTAAGTTGAGTGCTGTCATCTCGGTAAAACCTGATGACAAGAAGATCATTCAGGAATTCATTTCCTTTGAAAGTAAACCATAGGTAAAAGTGGAATAAGATGTTCAAGGAGTTCTATGATGAATTTACTGGAAATGGCTCAAACGATCAGAAGGAATTTAAGGTTTATCCTGATTTTTTTTTCCTGAACCTGCATCCGTACACTGACATTCCGCCGAGTCTCTATAAAAGGCAAAACCTTTCGCTGATTGATGTAGCTTAGAGTATCTGTATCGTGAGTGAAGTGTCACAGCAGTTTTACAAGCCACTGTTTTAATTCTGCTGGTTTTTTATGGTTTCAGTAGCTGAGCTGTTCCAAATAGATGATGATGTCAATGATACATTATAAGTATTGTGGTGGGTAGCTTCAGACCTTAGTGGATTTATTTATCCGGCCAGCAATGAGATTTAATTAATATAGTTGTGAACTTTATTGCATTGAGAATTTTTCAGCTTCCGTGCCAGCTCGTTTGGTACGGCTCCAGGCAGCTCCGGTTCCGGCTGACACCCTGACATGGGACACTGTAGCAACACTGTAGCCCGGGCTGTTTTTCTCTTCCCCACCTTTTCCCTCTCACGGTAGCGTGGTTACTGTTTACGGAGCCGGTGAAGCTCGAATTTCTGGCTCCGCCGGCTCCGGTTCTGGCACGCTACAGTACATACACAGTGTAGAAGCCGAATCTCCTCGGAGCCATACCAAACGAGCCTACTACAGCTTTCAATAAATTACAAAATGGAAATAAGCAAGCTAGTCTTACATTACACATATTGCGTACGTCCTGGTGCTTGTTGCTCATGGATTTTTCATCCTCAAGGCTGGACAACTGTATTTTCTTCATCCAAACTCTGTTCCTCCCTGGTTAAAATCCCAGCATGCGAAAGCAAGGCCCACAAATGAGTAAGGAACTCCCCACCATTTGCCAGATGTTGTATATGATCTCTTGCATTGTCTGATGGAGCAATGTACAGTATCATCTCGGTCCAGAGATCTACCAGTACCTTCCAGCACCTGGCGGGACCTATTTCTTCCAGCTGCTTCCCAAGCAGTATCCCCTTCACAAAAGTCCCCTGATGTCGAGGTAATAGCTGGTTGAAATTTTTCATCTTTCTATACTTGCTTTCAAGTGATATCTCTTCCCGTAGGAACTCTAGGGCATCCTTCCTTACTCCATGAAAGCACGCGGTAGTGTCCAAGTGATGGTCAGGAAGCAGTTCTGGGACAAATGCCAGTAAGTATGCACAGTATCTTGACAGTGATCTAGCGATGTTAAGGTCATCATCACTTATACTTCTCTGTTCCACTGTGACTGACTGATGCACATGTATGATCTCACAATACTCTGTTGCAATGTGCCAAATTAACATGGAGTTGGCATGGTTTTCCTGTCTGCATGCCCATTTAAGCCTATTATATTGACCATTGCGCCTCAAAGATGATGCTCCATTAGACAGTTGACCAGCATTGCGTTTCAGAGTTTGAGCAACTGCTAACTTCACATTGTCCGACAACCTAATGCGGTCTGGCCCCTTAATACCTGGGTTACTGATACCTCTTGAGAAGGATGTTTCCTGACACCAAAGAATCTTTGCAGAGATACACCAAGACAGAGTTCCTAGCATGTCATGTGTGAATGATCGGCGGTGTAAATCCTTGAGTAATGAGAGCTGACCAATCTTGTTTTGCCACCATCTAAATATCTGCGGAAGCCTATCCCAGAACAGGCAACCAATGTCACAAGTGCCGTCTAAAGAACACTCAAGCCGACAAATAGATCGTAGCTTAGCCCAATCGGATGACAAATAAACATACAGTTGTAGTAGCTCTAGTGCCAGAAGTAGCCCCATGAATACTTTACTAACATTTTTGTGCTTTAAAATTGACCATAGTATTGCAAAACAATAAATGACTGATTTAATGATACTTAGGATTATGATAGGTTTACCCAATCTAGTGTTGAAAGAAGCAGAGCTGGTAAACATGTGATCATGAGCAAAAACCAATTCTGCCTCAATCACCCGGAATGTAGTTCGGTAATTCTCTTCTACATTAAACAACAGTCCATGAAAAATAAGGTCATGAGTTTTCTGAAGCTTGGATTCAGGACAAGAAACCCCAAAGAAACGCCTCCTTAACAGCTGAAATAAGGCGAAGGAAAGGGACAGCTCCTTCAATTGTACATTGATCCCGCTATCAAGCCAGATGTCGCTGACAGTTATCTTATCACCTACCAATGGAAACCTTCTTAATCCGTCACTTGATACACTTCTCCAAGATACAAGGTAGTTGTAGCCTTTTAGAGTGACAGGGTCATAATTGGTAGTCTTTTTGTGCTCATGCTTCATATACTCTGCAAGATACAGGCTTCGGTCGTCTGAGAAACTACTTGCTGTCTTACTCGCATAAATCCTTCCAACATTCAGAGATAGAGTAAATACCAGTAAGAAACTATAAACTAAATCCAGGAATGTCTCGAGTTTTAAATGGACCTTAAGCATGGCAAAGAAGTTAATCACATACAAAAGTTGCTGAACAAAATGCCTCCAGTACTGCTCATTGTCTTCAATGACATAGGCCGTCATACTATTTGTACCACCAAGGGCCACGAGCAACGCAACAGACCAAATATGAAACAACTCACCATTAACTGAAGACAACTGCATAAGACCAAGAGTGTAGATCACCACAGAGGGTGTCGTAGTGTAAGCAAGCCAGAGCAGGTATTTGATGAATGAACTGTGGCAACAGCGTCTCCACCAGCCAAATATAATCTGAATGGCGAAAAGTATTATTGAAAGAGGTACAAGAACTTCAGCTTGGGTCATCACCCCTCTCTCGCTGCGCAACCAGGACATGAAAGTATCCCATTCGTGTGTCATGTTCTTTTGCAACCCATTTAGTTGCATTACATCTGCTCTGGCCATACTTGCTCGTCCAGACTGGATCCTGTGTATTAACAACATTACAAAAACTAACTATCCGAAGACAACTAAATGTGTAGCATGTCAAGAGAAGTGTACATACCTTGAAATGGAAGTTCAGAAGGTAAGGTCAGGAGATGCAATGTAGCATTAGTATTATCAGTACTTAAGAAGCAACACACATGTCCCTTATAGTTAGGAGTTGCAAGAAGAGTATTACTTCAACACGTAACACCAGCAGAGACAACAAGAGAATTGTCCAAGAGAAGTGAACAAACATGTATTGCTTTCGACCGGCATGTGTATTTGTCTTCTTCAGTAGAGGAAACTGAAAGAAGCAACAAGCAACACGAACACTGTCCAAAAGATGTGAAAAAAAATGTGTATTGCTATTGACTGTACTCTTTAGATTGGCCACCCAAGTCAATATCAGAAATGAGCTGATCATTAGAAACAAAATTGTTTGGTTCCATCTGTACCACATAATGTACTCTTTAGACCGGCCATCCAAGTCAATATCAGAAATGAGTTGATCATTAGAAACAAAATTGTTTAGTTCCATATGTACAACATAATTTGAATCAGGCAATATCGAAATTTAATGGAAACTACCTACAGGGCTACATCAATAGTAAAAAAAAAGAACGAGCAATTAACTACAATTTCGACGGGCACGGTTGAACTGGATATCTATAGGCATGTCATCGTCAACCATAAACACCAAAACGCAGAGGAATCAAGTAATTTTGCCTCCATTTCGTCACTTTTGAATGCAGCCAAAGGAGCAGCCGGCAGGGACAACGACTCAGATCGATTGACTCGTGCAAGAGGTGCCAAGAGTTCGCGGCATTAGTTTTACATCTCAGCAGATAAGTTTTTATCCGGTCCTCACATAGCATCCAAAATCCATACTACTCGGTTGTGCAATGCAATTATGCAACTGAATACAGTAGGTTCTGAACTCTGCAGGGCAATCGAAATCGATTCAACTCTGCTGAAACCAGAACGCTTTCTCATGCGCCGCATCTGAAGTGTGAGGCGTATGTACACACCTTGTTGGACCCGGCGTGGCGAGGGAGAAGCCGCCGCCGGTACGGGGCACTCCATCGAGGCGGAGAGCAACTCTATCGCAGCGGCACCCACCTCCGCCTGCGGGTTGTTGACAAGGATGCGGGCGGCGACGCTCGAGCTTCACCTTCCGTGGCACCAACGGCGGAACGGCCTTGCTCTGACCGCAGCCATGTCCGCGCAGTTGCTCACGCTGGCGCCGGCGAGGCAAAGGCCGTCTCCACCCTGAAAGCTAGGCTGTTGCGGGTGGTGGTTATGGGCCGTTGTGAAGGCAGGCAGAGGCTGGTTTGGCGTGGGCCCATGGGCTGTGTAGCTTATACTACTGCTCCCGCCGTCCAAAAAGAACTTTGATGTTTTAGTTTTGTTCTAAATCAAATTGTTGTAAATTTGACAAAATCTATAGAAACATTTTCTAACATTTATTATACTGAATAGATATACTATAAAAAATATTGCATGAAGGAATGTATGGTATTTATTTAGTAATATATATAAACATTAGTTTTCTAGTGTGTAAATTTGGTCAAACTTTAGATAGTTTGACTTAGAACAAAATTAAATCAGTTTTTTGCGATAGAGAGAGTACTTAAAGTAAAAATTTATTTATTTTAGTGAAAGTTGCAAAAGTCCAAGCAAAAAACTAAAACACAAGAATAAAATGTTTCCAAGAAATTAAAATAGTATAGCTTAAACTAAACTCTTAATATAGTATAAACCATTCATGATCGAAGCACTTTCATACCTCCACCCAACCAAATTTAAAGGAAAAGGAAAAAAGAGTAGCAGAAGAAGCCCAGAAGAAAAGCATGAAATAGGAGAGGTGGACGATGGATGCAAGCGTAAAGCCCCATTTGATACAGCTTCTCCACCAGCTTCGAGGACTGCTTGGCACGATTTTTTTATGAAACAGGTAAAAAAGAAACAGCTCATCATCAAGTGGAGCCCCTTAAAACATGGTCTTACAAGAGGTGGGCGCCCGATGGAGCTAAAAATACCAGTTTTCTCACAGCCCTCTTTCTCATATCTACTATGAGAAAGTGATTTACCAAATGCTTTTTTCAAAACAAATTTAGCCCCAATAGTAGAGCTACTTATAGAGCTCCACCTATGTTTTAATATAGAAAAAATCACTCCCTTTATCCCTACCTAAATCAATTCCTGAAGTATTAAAGTGAAATTATGTATGTTTGATCGAATTTGTAGAAAAGAGAATAAATATTTATGACAATAACTGAGCATATTGTAAAAAAGTATTTTATGATGTATCTAGTAATACTAATCTGGTTTCGTAAGTCTTAGTCCTTATTTATAAATTTACTAACTTAAAAAAATTGAACTTAATTAATATATATAACTCTAGACTAGAAGGGAGTACGTGCTAGAACCTTTCGCACGCCACCTAGAACCTTTTTATCACACGTGGAAAACACCAAAGCCGGAGGATAGGCTCCGCGCGCGGCTACTTGTACAAGTGGTCTCCAAAATGGTAGATTTTGCAACTCAAAAGGTTAAAGGGGTTGTATATCTTTTATATCTGAAAGCACCAATCGAAACTCTAGTATCCAGAGCGCCAAATAGATACATACTCTCTCCATTTAAAATTATAAGACGATTAGGTTTTAGAGAGATAGTTTTTGCTATGTTTTTTTTACAAACCCTATGAACATACGCACGTAACCCTACCCCTATAAGCACCTCCGAAACACACGTACGTAAACATTACCCCTATAAGCACCTCCGAAAAACTGTGCCGGCACATTTTGAGATTGACAAAGTCACCACAGGTGACTCGCTGTCGACGGAAACGTCGCCTACCAACACACGTACATAAACCCTACCTGTATAAGCACCTCCGAGATACTGTGCCGGCACATCTCGAGATTGACAAAGTCACTATGGGGCACAACGTCGTTAAATCCTAAAATAAATTCAAGAAAATACAAGCATTCGTGTCAAATCGAGGACTTAAACTCGGGTGAGCAGCTTTTATCACAAAGAATGTTTTTACTATATATTAAGCTGTACAGTAGATTACATACATAGTAAAAATAATATGACTAGAAAAGTTAAAACGTCTTATATTTTAGAATGAACGGGTAGTTCTTTTTTTGATCCCATATTCCTATTTCTAACGGTCCACATGCTACAATGCTAAACTTTGGATTCTCTGAGCAAAAATATGGCCTAAGCGTTTGCATAGGTCTTGACTTATTTGTGTATTACCCAAGTCTGGCTCACATACGGGAGCCAGGCCTTTGGTGGTAGGCTAAGTGTATCTATGCATATGCAACATTGTTATGTTTAGTTGCTTGCATCTAGCTAGCGTGTCAAAATTAAAAACTCTCACGTGAATATATTGCATAGGATAAAATTAACGTGTTGTTTGGTAGAAGCGTTGGTAACGCAAATATAATGGATTTAAAGCTATATGTTACTACCAACGCAAATATAATGGATTTAAAGCTACGGATGTTACTGCAAGCCATTCAATTTGAACTATTATTATTTCCGTTTGCATTATTGTAGAGTGAACCAAACACTGTCTAAGTAAATAAACATAATCACGTCATTATTCCATGCAACTATTTTGTTTATTATGTTTTGAAATACATTAATATCAATTAATATACGCTACACGCAGAGCGGAAGCTCTCTGCACTGGGTACGTCCTTTAATCATACACTTATAATATTATTATTTAGTTAATTATTGATCGTATTTAGCGAACCTAAGTTTGACTGAAGTATACGTAGCTTTTTTTTTAGATAATGGATAGTTTATACCCGGCTTCATCTATTAACTGATAGAATCAGGCCAATTATTACAACGTCTCGCCCAAAGGCACACACACAGACTTCAAAAACAACACATTTGTCGCCAGCCACGCTGGTAACTGAAACAAAATAAAGTTTAGACTAAACATAACCAAGACGTCTTGTAGATAACCATCCATTTGAACTAAAAAACTGCGAAGCTGACGATTCTAGGTGATGTCCAACTAGGATCAGCTGATCCCGCTGATCATCATGCCGCTGCAATCTTGCCCACTGTCGAAGGCAGTGCGTTCCCCTGAAGAGTACCTGCAAGAAAGATTTTGGTTTGCATTTGTCAAAAACCACCTCGTTCCTTGTTAACCAAATGGCCCAGCAAAGTGCGGAAGCTGCTGTTAATAACAATGAATTATACTTTTGGTTCGCTATCTTTGACCATCTAATAAAAAGGTCATTTATATGGGGGGGGGCAATACCAAAAAGTATATGTATAGCACGCCATAAGTATTTGGCATAAGCACAGTCTAAAAAGAGATGTTGTATGGTCTCCGAATAGTGACAGAAGCAGCACTGCATGTCCCAATTCCAGTTACGCCTAACTAAGTTGTCCTTAGTTTAAATTACACATTTTTTTAGGTACCACAAATTTTTTTAGTTTTTGTAGGTACTTTAATTTGCCATAAATCTTGTGACACTTTAACCCCATTGTTAATTAACGCAGCATATATGGATTTGACTGTAAAGTTCCCAGATGCATTTAGACTCCAAACAAAGACATCCCTTTGCTCAAGTAGGTTAATATCTTGTAAAGAAGCAACAATTCTATGCCAAGCCATTAAGTTCGCCCCCACTAAATTTCGTCGAAAGGAAATATTTAGTGGGATTATACTAAGAATCTGTGCCACAGAGTCTTGTTTTCTTCTTACTATATTAAACAACGAGGGGAATTTGTCTTTGAGAGGTTTATTTCCCAACCAAGTATCTATCCAAAACCTAGTTTAAGACCCATCTAACACTTTGAACGAGCCAAAGTCCGTAAAGACATCCTTGACATTCATTAAACTTTTCCAAAAATGAGAATCTGTTGGTTTCTTAACACAACTCCCTAGAGTCTTATCTTTTATGTATTTATTCCTTAATAGTTCCTGCCACATACCATCTTCATTTAAAAGTTTGAAGAGCCATTTACTTAATAAACATTTGTTTTGTATATACGTAGCTAACTAAGTCAATATAGTGTTCTGAAAACCAAAAAGAAAGACAACATCATGCATATATATATATATATATATGTTATATATTCTCCCAAGAAGAGAATCTTTAGGCGTATCGCCCTTGGCTAAATTACTACTGACCTACTGAGAGGCTCGCAGACCGAGACCAAGAGCAGGGAACCAAAAACGCCAGAACCAAAGCTCCCACGATGCTGTCGCGCTTTCTGTCTGTTACTGCTCGCCGCACGCGCCACCCGGCTCGCAGACTGCACGCCGGCGCGGGCGCCGTCGTCGCTCCTCCGCCTCAGGCGCTGGTCGAGAGCGGGATCCGGCCGGAGTCGCTGCCGCGGCACGTGGCGGTGGTGACGGACGGGAACAGGCGATGGGCGGAGGCGCGGGGGATGCTGACGGCGGAGGGCCACGAGGCTGGCCGTCGTGCGCTGGAGCACACGATATCTCCCACGCCTGGGGCATCCGCGCGCTCACGGTGTTCGCGTTCTCCCAGGAGAACTTCGGGCGCCCCAAGTCATAGATCTCTTCACTCCCCTCACTAACTTTCTTACTTTCTTCAGCACCGACGCGAACAGATCTTGTGTTTATACACTGTTCTCGCATTCCTTTGAATCTGAAGATGAAGGTCGATTACTTGATGGGAATGATCGACGGACGATCCGCGATAACATCGACGAGTACGCGAGGTGAGCGTGCATTTGCACAGCAGATCGCACATCACACAGTGACATACGAAGTTAGTTTGGTACGTACTGCAAAATGCACATCATCTAATGAGTCCGTGATATTGACCTGGACAGGAACGGGATTCGGATGCATGTTATCGGCGACCCCTCAAGACGTCCGGCTTCTTTGCAGAACGCGTTCCACCTGATGCTGGCGACCTGCTACAGCGGGCGATGGGACATTGTGCGAGCGTGCCGAGAGCTCACCGGCGAGGTGCAGGGCAACCTTCACTGTCCCAAATCATGACAATACTACCGGTTCAAAACACTCCATCACTGTCGGATTTTAAATCGACACAATCATATTGGCAGTGATAAGGGTTAGCTATCACTGTCAGTTCCTACAAACCGGTAGTGTTCTTCAACTTCACTGCCGATTCTTTACTAAAACCGGCAGAATTCAGGTCCACCAACAGTGCTGGTTCATGACACTACCTGGCAGTATAACTGCG